CCCCAGACGCCGCCGCCGCCGAGTGGATCCGCAAAGGCAGCTTCATCCACAAGCCGGCGCACGGCTGGCTCCACCCAGACGCCAGGGTCCTGGGGCCTGGGGTCTCCTACATCGTGCGGGTGAGTGCGCCGGCCGGGTCCCCCAGATCGCATCCTCCCCGGACCCCCAGCCTGGGGACTGGGCTTCCCTCCCCCACTTCTGTGCCTTGGACACCCGGGACCCGAGAGCCTGGTCTCTCCTCTCCATCCTTCCTCCTCTCCCCGCACCCGGGCCCCCATCTCCACCCGAACCCAGCGGAGGGGTCGGGGTTCCCACGGCGTCACGTGGGGAGGGGCGGGGAGAGGGCGGCAGGTGGGTGGGGGGCGCGCATGCGCAGGTTAGGCGTCGCCCCGGTTCTGGATGGGCGGGAGTCTGGGGGCTGAACCCGCATTGAAAGCTCTTTGGCAGACGACAGAATCGGAACGTGCAGAGACCGTGGCCTGAGGTGGGGGCGCGGGGAGGGGCGTCCGGAACGGGGCCAGACCTCAGGATTCGGGATGCGACCGTCCGGGGACTTGGAATGTGGTGTAAAGAAACGGGTCTTCGATTATCCCGGCTTTTTATTACGAACCTTTCAAACGCACAGAGAAGTTGGAGTGAACCCGCGTCCCCGCGCCTGCGACTGAGCACGTTCCCTCTGCTCGGTACCTCTGTCCCTGCGTGTGGGTTCGGATGACGCTCGCCGTCAAGTCTTCCGAGGTGGGCGTCCTCCTTCGCCCGCAGCGCACTGTACATCCGAGAAAACTGTCAGGGGTTCCGAGATGTCCTCAGCCCCCCGCAGGATTCCCATCTCCTCAGTCGGCTTTTGGGGACCAGGATGCGGGAAGTTTGTGTTTGCATCCGGTCAAGTCGTTGCCTCCTTTACAACAGACCCCACACCTCTTGTCCCCCTTCCCCAGGTACTCGGCTAGTAGTGTCCCCCCAAACTCACGTCCGTGGGAACCTGTGAATGTGGCCATACTTGGAAACAGGGTCTTTGTAGGTGTAATCCAGTTAAGATGAGGCCGTCCTGGAGTAGGGTGGTAATGGTTGGTGGCCTTATAAGAAGAGGGGAATTTGGACACGGGCGTGGGGTGACGGCCACGTAAAGAGGGAGACAGAGTGATGTTCTGCAAGCCAAGGATTGCGGGCCGCCAGAAGCTGGAAGAGACGAGAAGGACCCTCCCCTCGAGCTGTCGGCCGGAGCCCCCCAGCCAACACTTTGATTCTGGACGTCCAGCCAGCAGAACCGAGAGAATAAACTCCTGATCTTTCAAGCCGCCGTCTGTGTTGCTTTGTTTCGGGAGACTGACACCCTTGGTTAAGGTGACGTCTCTCCCTGGTGAGGGTCCTGTTTGTTTCCTTTACCGTTTATAAGGATCTGTGGGGTGCACTGTTTTTTTTGGTCGGACCTTTAGAATTGAGGGATGACGTAGGTGAGGCATGTAAGGAAGTCTCCAGTGCGTGCGCCCCAGCGCAGCCTCGTCCGGCCCGAGCTGCCCAGTCCCCCGGCCGGCACCGCCCGCACCACCCGCCGTCCCAGCCCGGTCACCACCATCTGGTTTGTCTATTCTTGACCCTCAGCTGGGACGGAGACTCAGATTCTGCTCACAGCCTGGTTCCTGACAAACTTTCACTAATTTCTTTTAGCAAAAAGCGAGGATTCTTGCCTGGGTGGACGCTTTTCATTTTGATAATTTTATGATTATTTTAATGGCTCTTAGGAAAACACGGTTGGGCATCAAACCAGGGGGTGATGGCAGCCACGTGCAGTTTCCTTGTACAAACTTTAAAAAAATTGAGATATCATTCAATACCACAAAATTTACCCATTTAAACTGTACAATTCAGAAGTTTTTAGTACATTCACAGAGTTGTGAAACCCTCACCATGATCTAACTCCAGAACATTTCATTGCCCAAAAAAGCAACCCTGTCCCCATGAGCAGTCACTCCCCATCCCCCTCCCCAGCCCCTGACAACCACGAACCCACGTTCTGTCTGTGGATCTGCCTGTTCTGGACATTTCACGTCAATGGGATCACACGCCGTGTGTCCTTCTGTGTCTGGTTCTCTCACTGAGCATCGTGTGTTCAGGCTCCATCCACGGTGTGGCTGTGTCAGGGCCTCACTCCTTTTCATGGCCGCATCATATTCCAGCGTGTGGATGGACACGTTGCATGGATCCATTCATCAGCTGATGGACGTCTGAGTCATTTCTTGCAGTCTCCTTTAAAAATAAGCACAGTTATGTTAAAAATGGAGTTTATTTAAAATAAAAGTATTAAGTAAATAATAGTCCGAGCCCTCTGGCACAACTTGGGAAGGTGGGCTGGAGTGGGGGAGAGCCTCCCACACTGGGAGTGTGGTGTGCCGGGTGCTCACTCTCTATCCGCCCTGGCTCGCTGTGTGAGCTTGGCCCGGTCCCCTCCCCTCTCTGGGCCTCAGTTTCCCCACTTGTAAACTGATTCCTTCCCTGCAACATCCCAGGGTGGGCTCTGGGGTGCCTCAGTTTCTGCATCTGCAGAGCGGAGGGTGGGTGCAAAGCCGCCTGGGTCTCCCCTGACCTTCTCTCGTAGTTTCCTGTGGCCGCTGTCACAAATGACCGTGAACTGGGGGCTTACCAACAGAAGTTGTTCTCTCCGGGTCCTGGAGGCCGGAAGTCCGACATGGAGGTGTCGGCGGCTGGTTCCCCCTGAGGCTCTGGGAGAACGTTCCAGGCTTTCTCCGCCCTCGGCTGGTGGCTGCACGTCCCTCTGCTCTTCTCTTATCGGGATCCGTCTTATAAGGGCCCATCCTGATCTCGTCTTGGGGTGTCCATCTCGTCTGCAGAGATTCCCTTTCCAAATAAGGCCCCGTTCGCAGGTTCTGGGGCCGAGGACGTGGACGGACCCTTTTGGGGGCCGCTGTTTAACCCATGACAGTGTTTGGAGAGTTTGTGATTCTGGGTCAGAGGTCATCTGGCTGGCCCAAGGCTGATTTGACCTTTCACCTTCTTTTTTCTGCCCTTCTATTTAAAAATAAAAATTCCATTTCTGGTCACCATTCACAATTTGGGGGGTTTCACACAGAAGCCCCAGACTTCTGGTCTCCTTGGATACAATCGGGTGGTCTGGCAACATCGGCCCCTCTGGCCGTGGAGTATGGGGTTGGCCGCAGCCCCCACCACATCCTGTACTGTGGTGGTGAGACTCCGGGCCCGAGGGTATGGGTTCAAATCCTGCCTCTGCCGCCTACTTACTCCGACTTACAGCAGGTTCCCTAACCTCCCGCGTCTGTTTCCTGAGAGGTGACAGTTGTTGCTGTGGCCTGGGGTTTGGGGGGCGGGTTAAGAGGTCACATCTGGAGAGGCTTGGAGCAGGGCGTGGCGTGTGGCGTGTTAGTGACTGACCGGTGTCTCCCTAAATGGACCACTCAGCCGCTGTCCACCTGCCCCGCCTGGGCCCGTGGGCTCCGAGTTTGCTGTCGCTGTTCTCAGCCCTGCAGGGTGGTGACACCCCACCGCCTCCTCTCGTGTGGACCCCTGCCTCTCCCGTGCCTCCCATCAGGGCCCACGCTTCATCCAGGGAGAGGCTCACAGGAGGATTTTCCGCACGACCAGAGTGGGCGTTGATTAGGGTGAGCCTGCGGCAGGCACGTGACTTAGACCCCCTCACCCCGGGCCCATCGACACCCACCCCACAGACGCACGCTCTGCTGGAGGGAAGATACCGTTGGGCAGCCAGCGCCCCATCACCTCCGTCTACTCAGAGGGAGAACCACTCCTGGGGGCAGGGACCACAGCTAATGCCCTGTGAGGTCCCACGTGTCTAACATGTGCCTAGCATGTAGTCCATGCTGGTCCGTCTGTCCATCCATCCACCTCTCCATCCATCTATCTGTCCATCCATCCATCCATCTACCTGCTCATCCATCCGTCCATCTGTCCATC